AGAATAAAATTTTTAAAAAATTTAAATGATGCAGAATTTCAAAACAAGATGATAGGATATCAACAATGGTTGTGATATTGTATATTGCTATCTTCAAAGTAGTCATTCAGATTACCAGATACAAGCATGCAGGATTTCTATTGGGAGCATTAGTGTCAGGATTCAAGCAGAATGCGAAGCACGGGAAGCAGTGACCCATAGGAAGAAACTTAGGAGGTATCTTGTAGGCCTTGCACACCGCCAACTAGTAATTACATGTATTTAAAAGCTTAGATAGACTCTTAATAGTCATAGTGATTGTATATATTTATGGGATGTAGTGTGATATTTGGATACATGTATACAAGGAACCATGATCAGACCAGAGTTTTAGCACATCCATTGTCTTCAACATCTATCATTTCTTTGCATTGGGAAAATTCTTTCTTCTAGCTATCCTGAAGCACCCAACTAGTGGTGATAGTAATTGCCCTACTATGTAACAGATGGGTACAACCTTGAGTACCCCCTTTCCAGGTGGATTAAAGCCAATCTATAGCATAAATTTCAATGACTAAATAGTTGTAAGTAGAATGACTCCACTACTTTTTAAGTAGTTATTTAACCTGATACCTTACTCCTACCTAACTATACTTTCATAATGTGGCTGTTGGTTCCCCTTTTCCTGGAGAATAATCAGTAGACTGCTTTTTGAACAAAAGCTTAATGAAGGCCCTAGGATTGAGATTCCAGGGAAAGGGATGAGCTGGGGAACAAGATGGGAAGTAGACACCAAAGGTGAGCCAACTCAGGACTGCACCAGAAGTTGTGTGATGGAAATTTTTAATTACTTTTTCTGAGACTTCATGCTTTCTCCTGAGGTTTGTTGACCTGTCTGTGGCTTCCTACAGGGGCTGACCTGCAAAGTGTCCAGCACAATGACAATCAAGCCGGGCTACCTGGGAACAGCCATTCCCCACTATGATGTCCAGGTTTGTTGAGGACACTAAGGAGCAAGGGGAAAAAGGAACCTTCACTGCTAGTAATTTATTCATGCTATTAATCAATGAATTAAAATAATATAAACTAGAGACATTCACATATTTTAAAAGACAGAAAGAGGGAGGGAAGGAGGGAGGGAGGGAGAGGCAGGAGAGGGGGGAAGGAAACAAGAAAAAATGGCTAGATAGTTATATATGTACTTATGCTTTAAAAGCAAAGAAGGGATGTATCTTGACATGACATTTTATAAATTGCATTTATTATTTAACAACCTTGGGTACCCCCTTTCCAGGTGGATTAATGCCAATCTATAGCATAAATTTCAATGACTAAATAGTTGTAAGTAGAATGATTCCACTTCTTTTTAAGTAGTTATTTAACCTGATAGATGGGGTTCAAACTATTGCTAGTGCAAACAACAGTCCATTGAGGCTGCTATAGCTAAAGTTTGGCTCCTTTTCTTGTTATTTCTTTTGCCTGAATTCCAATAGCTAAAATTTGGATACGCACAAATAGTGTATATCCATTGAAGACAATGGATATTTTGAAACCCTGGTCTGACCATGGTTCCTTGTATACATGTATCCAAATATCACACTGTATCCCATAAATATATACAATCACTATTTGTGCATCTATGACTACGTGTTCATTTCTGTGCCTCAAAAGGATAAAAACATACACTATTGAGAATTATGCCATTGTCTGTGACCCTGTGTGTTTGTCACCTTTCCCTTCCATGAGACCAAATACTTGACACCCATAACCCAAAGGAGTGGAGATTTATTATTTCATGGTCAGCCAGTGCTGCAGCAGGAACTGCAGGGCAGAAGGGTGTGACAGAGCAGAGCTACTTAGTTCATGGTAGCCAGGAGGCAGAGTAGGTGTCAGCACTAGAGAGGAAGGGGCCAGGGACAGACATAGCCCCCAGGTCACACCTCATGACCCAGCCAGACACACCCAGCAGTGTACTTTGCCATTTCCCGAGGTGGCTCCCAAGCCAATCATGTTGTCAGTTAGTTAAGCTTCACTGTCACACACTGCTCACTCTGACAACCATCACTGAGCTGCGTTTTAGAATCCTATGTCACTTGTGTAAAAGCCCTGTGAAATCAGCTGTCAACATCTCTCTTTTATAAAAGAAGGCACTGAGAAATAGTGCTTAAGTAGTTCAAGATCAAGTAGAAAGACAGCAGCATGATCTCAAGTTTTGATCTTTCTGACTTTAAAATCCAAGGTGAAGTGGACCTCTAAGCTAAAGGGAGGCACTTATTTCCTCTGAGCTTCTAGAGCTAGAAGCTCCTCCCCAAGCCCATCTGATGCCATCTTTTTTTTTTTATGCCATCTCAATAAGAGACTGCAGTGGCTGGATCTCAGCAGGTGCATCAGAGATATGAACTTGACATTCTTAGCTTGCTCTGACTTCTGCTTCCTGTTTGAGGCTCCGCTGGAGTGAGATATTTTCCATTTGGCCAGCTCAGTTCCCTCACACTGCCTGCCATTCAAGGCCTCTCCTGTTATGTGGCTCACTCTCCCAATCTGCTTCTTCTTCCTCCAGGTCATAGATGATGAAGGCAACATCCTGCCACCTGGCAAAGAAGGAAACATAGCAGTCAGGGTCAAGCCCATCAGGCCTGTGGGCATCTTCTGTGGCTATGTGGTGAGAGCCCTGCCCTCCTTCTATTCCCTGTAGGCATGAGAGGCACCCAGTGGGGTGAGGGGTCCCCAATGTCATGAGCCTTCCAAGAGGCACCAGCCAGATTTGGGAACAGAGTACCCATGTCCAAGAAAGGGCATTTGTTGTAGAGCAGACTTCCAGGAAGTATGGAGTGTAATCAGAGTACACGGTGAATGCTTAAATTTTAAATTTTTTTTTACAGTTAACAATACATTTATGCTACTGAAAATACTCACCACTTCAAACACAGGGATCCATCATCCTTGTCACTTTCTGAAGCAGTTCTGGAAGTCCTCTTCCATGAGTGTCTTTAGTTTCGCTGACATGGCTGCCTTGATATTCTAAATCAATTAAAAATGTTTACCTTTCAAGTTTATTTTGACTTTGGGGAAGATAGAAATTATACAGTACCAGATGTGGTGAACATGGGGCATAAAGACACACTAATATTCCCACATGGCTGCCTTTCTGTTGGATGGTACTTGGTGGCAGCATTCACTTTTTACCATACCTTATAAAGACAAATGTGAAAGTGGACTTCCAAAACTTCTTCAAAAAATGGCAAAAATGATGGGTTAACTGTGTTCAAAGCAAGGGATTATTTGAGGGAAATTAATGGCCATCTGCCTCTTACTGTAATAAATCTTTAGTGATTTTTTTATTTTTTTCAGAACTGGGAATTGAATTCAGGCCCTTGTACTCGCCAGGCAAACACTTACTCAACTGAGCTGTCTCCCCAGCCCATCTTTAGTGATTTAAACATGCACCATGCTTTCCACTCACACCGCATCCACACAGATAATCCTTGAGTTGGCCAACTCACTTAACAGGTGAAGATGCAAAGCCACAAATTACAAGACCCACTCACACCCGTGGCAGTTGGGAAGTGGGCAGAAAGACCCCATACATGTGCCTTCTGACCCCCAACATAATTAATTGTTAAATGAATAAGTACAGTTAGTCCAATAATAGCAGTTTCTGCCATTTATCCGGTGTATCCTTCAAAGCAAGTACTATCCTACAATACCCAACAGACATGAAACTCCTGTAATCCTCATTTCCACCCTGTGACCTCTTCACAGCCACTATACCCAAGCTCAGACTCAGCTCACCATTGCCTGGGTGGTCTGGGGCAAGTAACTGAGGTCTGGTGCCTTGGATTCCTCATCTGTAAATTATGTGACGTTAGAATCATTAATGGTGTGTGAAGACATTGATATTTGTTATGCATTTAGAACTCGCTGCATCCAGCTACGTTAAATAAAAAAACAGCAATATATCCACATTGTCATTCCCATCATACAAATGAGGACACTGAGGCTCTGGGGTCAGTGCCCAGCCATACTGAGCTCTTAACAAAGCCTTTTCTGTGAGCTGCCCCAGCCTGTCCTCACTTGTCATTAAGGGAGCTAGTCCCAGATTTTCCCCATTTGGAGAGACAAGGAAAGAGAGGAGAGGGGGCAGATCAACTTATGTTGTCAGTGCCAGTGGCAGCTGCATAATTACTATGAAAAAGAAAACTAAGCTAGTAGTCAAGAAAGTTGGTTTCTGGTCTCAGCTTTACCACCTAGCCTGGCTGTTTGGCCTTAGTCAAGCCTCCTGATCTCTCTGATTTTCAACAGCCTCCCATTCCCAGTGAAGGACCTAAGCTAAGACATCACCAGGATGCCCTCTAATTCAGTCACTGAACATCTAATTGGGAGCCCAGGCCCCAATCCAAGTAAGATTTCAGATGCATGGACCAGGGGCAGCCCTGGCTTTAAGGAAGCGCACAAGTCAGGGGGAGACCTGCGGACTCACTGGCTTGTCTCTAGAATGTTTAGATCTAATAAGAAGAGAGGAAAAGGTACATAGTCAACCTGATACCCTTGAACATGTCACTGGGTGAGGAGAAGTTGAACTGTCTGTGGACTGGAATCTGTCTGAGGAAATTCCTAAAGAATATGTGAACAAATATATCAGTATAATTCATCAGACTAGACCTGGGGGGACAGATGAGAAGCCCTAGGTGAAATGGCTGACATAAAGGAGAAAGATTGCGTTTGACCTAGGATCTAACTTAGGTGAGTACAGGGCAGGTTCACGTAGGACGGTGGTTCAATCTGTAAACTGTATAACGGGCACGTCTGTTCATGGTGGCCCTGGGGATTTGGGCTTTGGACATTCAATGACTTATCTCTCTGGCTACCAGGACAATCCCAAGAAGACAGCAGCCAACATTCGAGGAGATTTTTGGCTTCTAGGAGACCGGGGAATAAAGGATCAAGATGGATATTTCCAGTTCCTGGGGCGAGGAGACGATATAATTAACTCCAGTGGGTGAGCATGGTTCTGGGCTGGGAAGGGTACTCTGGATCTCATTGTGAGTGGCTCTGTACCTTGGGGATGGTCTGGGGTGAGTATCTTCTCTGAAGGAAGGCTTATTTGCAGGTACCGGATCGGACCCTCAGAGGTGGAGAATGCACTGATGGAGCACCCTGCCGTGGCTGAGACGGCCGTGGTCAGCAGCCCGGACTCTGTGCGAGGAGAGGTGATTGGGAACATCAGCCTGGGGCAGATGAGAAACACACAGGCAGTATGGACTTGGGCCTACGCAACCCAGCCTAGGTCTAGGCCCTATCACTTACTAGCTATTTGACTTCAGGCAAGCTTTTTAGTTGCTGTGCCTCAGTTTCCCCATATGAAACATGAAGGATTGTTGTGAGTGTTAAACTTGTTAGTGTTTCTAAAATTTCTGGAACAAGGCCTAGTACTTCATCAACACTACTTTAAATCTGTTATTTTGGTCTGCAGAGATTCCATACTGCTGTTTGAATCTGATTTCTGGACAGGAGGACAGAGAAGGGGTTTGAGACAAAGCATAGAACCCTGAGCCCTGAAGTTCACAGGGAAAATAAGGGTGAAAAGGACTCCTACAGTACTGAATTAAAAGAACAGACCCCAGTGGAATCTAACAGAGCCTAATGCAGTGGTGGCAGACCTATGGCACGCGGACCGCAGCAGGCTGTTCGTATCATGGAAAGTGCTAAAAGGCTTGCCGTCCCGGCTTAGTGCATGTGGACAGAAAGTCACGTGGGAAGCAGAAACCAACTTGCCAGCACAGGGCTGCAGGCTTAGTGTGCCGATGCTCGGCCTCCAGCACCTAAGGGGCAGGTCACATGGGATGCTGTGGAAGCCACCAGACAAGCAAGGTAAAAGGAAAGCTATTAGGCTTTTGTTTCATTTCTTATGAATCAAAGTATACAAACTTCAATACATGCCATGCCGGCCCCACCTCCAGGTGCACCAAGCTGGCCACTGAGACTGAGCGTGGTGGTGCATGCCTGTAATCCCAGCACTGGGAAGGCTGAAAACTGGAGTTCTGTTGGTCCCAACATCCCCTCTGTAGGTGGTGAAGGCCTTTGTGGTGCTGACCCCACACTTCCTGTCCCATGACAAGGACCAGCTCACCAGGGAACTGCAGCAGCATGTGAAGTCAGTGACGGCTCCATACAAGTATCCCAGGAAGGTAAGGCCACTGGGCTCCCAGTGCTCTGCATTTGGGGAAGGAGAGATAATTCTCCTGTTATGTTTCTCTTCTTCACATGAAAACAAGGCCACTAATTCCAAAGTGCTTCTTGATTGTGACCAAGGCACTAAGAATTGAACCCAGGGCCTAATCACTAAGCTATATCCCCAGCCCTTTTTTATTTTTTCTCTTAAGACAAGATCTTGCTAAGTCATTAAATTGCCCAGGTGGGGCTCAAACCTATGTTCCTTCTGTCTCAGCCTCCTGGGGTGTTGGGATTATAGTCATGGGTCACCACACCTAGCTCAACAACTGCCTTGATGCCTGACTAATCATCTCAGCCTCTGACTCTCTGAATTAAAAGTTGAAGGCTTTCATGGGAACAAGTTCTAGCCAATACCTGGCTTATCTTGCACTCTCTGCCCAAGGATCTTGCTGTGCTATTTGGATTATACAGTTTTCAGTTGAGGATAAGAGAAGTCTGACTTGAAATACATCGCTCACATAACTGTCAAGTCCAGGCCTGGTTAAAGCTTTCATACACTGCACCTGGTCCCTGGCCTTTGTATGACATGATCAGAAATGTTTCTTTTACTCATTGACTTTCCTTCTTCCATTTGGCTTCATATCTTGGAATTATCTCCAAATACACATTATCAGCAGTTTTATACAGTCCAGTAGAAAGTTAAACACCTCAGAAAAAGTCTTTGGGTTGATTCTTATTGGACCAACTGAGATCATCTGCCCATCAATCAAAGCTGTATGAAAACCTGGATCTCTCCTGTGGCTTTTTTTGACTCTATGTACCCCAGGGACCAAAGGGTACATATTTTAGGTCATATAGTCTCTGTTGCCATGATTAAACCAATCATGTAACCAGGGCAGTGGGATCCTTCCAGGTCATGTGGTTGCCCCCAGAGAAATTGGAGGAATGATGGGATAGAAAGGGCTTTCCTATACCCAGGATGGGAGCAAGTGAACAAGAGGTGTCTCCTCATAGGAAGATTGAAGTGCTCTTACCAGAAAAAGCAAAAAGTATGGACTGTAGCATACCTGTTGTACCTCTGAGGTACAAATGGAAGTGTGGAAGGTAATACAGCAGGAGAACTCAGTTTTTTTTTTTATTTAATGCACTATAAGGGCTTGTTTCTGGGAAGACCAAAAGAAGTATGCTTTGAGTCTGGAGTAGAACATGAGAGCAATATTATGCTGAAGGCTTTTTTTTTTTATTCCTAAATATCTGGGTTGCCCATTGCTCTTTCTTTAGTGCAGTCTACTTGTCTCTGTTGACTTCCTGAGAAGGGAAGTTCCTTCCCCAGGGAAGGAAGTTAAGGTACAAGAGGTCATGAAGTATTTGGCCTCTACACCTGGGAGAGGTCAGGCCTGGGCAGAAGCTGGGCTTTCACTGTGATTAATTCCCAGTGGGAACCTCAGTGGACCCCAAGGGAAGTACTGAAGCTAGGACCTTTGGGAGCTGTCCTGAGTCACAATGAGGAGGACAGGGAGCCCTATTGATCCAGGTAGATCACACATGAATGTTAACTGCCCTAAGCAAGGGGTGTGACCCTGGGTAAGACAGCACCGATAGCTGAGGCAATTCTAAGAGTGGCCTTGGTGGTGGGTAGTGAGTCCTGCATCCTTGCTGGGTGTCTCACCTGCGTATCAGAGTTCACCTTGGGGACTTTTGGCCTCATACTGAACTGAAGACAGCATAACACAGTCTCAGAAATCATACTGCCAGGTTCCAAGTCCACTCCCACCATTTGCTGACTCAATAACTTCTCTGTCCCTCCAGCTGCTCATCTGTGACATAGCCTTCACAGATTAAGAATGAGTTAATATTTATAAGGCATCAGACCCTCAGCAGAATAACAGGGACATATTGAACATGTAGCATTCTACAAGCAGACTAGAAATCCAATCATACCAAAGATATGACTTTTGCATTGTAACTGAATATTCTGGAGGATACAGTGAAGGGTCCTATCACACAGTGCAAAAGAGAAGGAATTTCTCAAGTCCCTCACAGCACGTCTTTGCTCACAAGTCTTTCCTCTAGAGTTTTCAGGAAATAAACTCATTCACCTTTCCCCTTCTTCCACCAACCACACCTAATTCTTCTGCCTTCTTCCTGATGCCTGGGTAGCTTTCTTTTTAGCATTAAACCTGGATCTCTCCTGTGGCTTTTTTTGACTCTATGTACCCCAGGGACCAAAGGGTACATATTTTAGGTCATATAGTCTCTGTTGCCACTTAATACTAATAAAGCCAAAGACAATACAATAATCCACCTTTATCCACAAGAGATCTACACGAAGGCTCCTAGTGGATTCCCATAATTGCAGATAGTACCAAGTCCTACAAATGCAGTAGTACATTTTTCCTATCTAAACATAGCTAAGATAAATTTTAATAATTTAGAGACAATGAGAAATTAATAATAGCAAAATATGACAATCTATAACACCTGCTTATTTCTAGAATTTTTCTGCTTAATATTTTCAGATCATAGTTGACCACAGATAACTGAAACCACAGAAATCAAAGCTGTATGTAAAGAGAGACAACTATTCCCAAATCAATGAATGTAACAATGATTCACTTAAACTTTATTTGCAAGAATAGGGTGCAGGATATGTTTTGCTCACAGGCCATAGTTTGTTAAGCCCTTATGGAGGAACTGTCAGGCAAACTGTTAAGAAGGTCATTTTTTGTATCCCTATCATTACTTTTATTAAACATTTAAAAATCTGATTCATGGCCCAACTTCATGGCCATCTGAGCCCTAGAGCCAGAAGCCTTTGTGAAATGTCAACTGTCTCTTAGAATTCAGGGACATCAGAAATAGGGGCCGTTGACTTCCTGATGCCTGAGCAGCTTTCTTTTTAGCATTAAACCTGGACCTCTCCTGTGGCTTCTTTGGACTCTATGTACCCCAGGGACCAAAGGGTGTTACATTTCTGTAACAGGTGAAAGTAGTAAAATTTGTAAGATTTTATAGTTTTCCCAAAGGGTCATCAGTGGGAGGTGACTGAAATGAAATTCAACTGAAAGGGTATCCTAACTTGTAGCTGTCTGCTCTGTCTAGTCCAGATTAATAAACATAGTGAATACTTGTGAATGCTTCTTCCTTGTGGAACATTCAGTGAACATAATCTCATTCAACACCTACATAAACACCCTGAGTTGTGATGATTGTCTACTTTCTTGTTGGGGGAACTGAGTCATCAAAAAGTCAAAGACTTATCCAAAGCCAACTAGAATATGGGAGGGAATCCAGAGTCAGATGTTAAAGCTCAATGTCATACTAATTTTGTTGTTTCTCCTCTGTCCAAGAGACTATGAAAGACCAGGCCAGTAGACTTTTACACCCAGCTCTAGCTAGCCTTTTCTTCTCTCCAGCCCAGCCACTTTCTAAAGCTTCCATCCTACTCACCTGGAGCCTCCAGATTTAAAGTCTTCCTTTAACCAACAGTTGCTCTTCTGAAAAATCCAAGCCTACTCCGGTCTGCTTTTTTCCAACAGCTGGAGTTTGTGTTGAACCTGCCCAAGACCATCACAGGGAAAATCTCCCGAGAAAAACTTCGAGCCATGGAGTGGAAGACTTCTGAGCACTCCCAGGCCCAGTGAGACTCTGGAGATTTTGTGGGGTTCCCTGAATTATCTCCTTTCCTTTGCCTTTGGGTTCTCAGCCATAGTGTGAGGATATGATATTCATTATCACAGGGATGTATGTGACTTTTGTCTTTCTTTGGTTTTAGCCCAAAACATTGCCATGTTAAATGTTGAAAGGAGCCTGTAATCCCAGTGCTTGGGAGGCTGAAAACGAGAGGATCACTATGAGTCCTATCTGTGTAGTGAAACCCTTTAGACCCTGTACTAAAAACATTTTTAAAATGTTGATGGGGCTTGTGGGTTAGCTGAGTTGCTTAAGTGCCTGCTGTAGCAAACCCAGTCAGGTGCAAGGGACCCCAGTTCAATCCCCAACTTCCACCTGCCTTATCAGACCCACCCTTAAGGCAGCCTGAGCCAGCCCAAAAAAACAAAAACCTTCTCAAAAAATGTTGAAAGGAAAAAAAGAGAGAACAAAGGAGAAGAAAGCGTGCACGAGTAACAGAGAAAAGTAATAAAATAAAGCTTAAAATAGCAAGGAAAAGCAATTGAAAAGGAAAGGCAGGAAGTAACAGAAAGAAGAATAAATGAAGATGGAATGAAGGGAAGTAGAAAAATAGAAAGAATTGGAGAAAGTTAGAAAAAGGAAAAAAGAGAGAGGAAAGAGGAAAGAAGGAAGAAAAAAGAAAAGAAAGTGTGGTCAACACAGTTGAGTCATCTCCATGTCACCCCAACTCTTGGCGCTCTCCTAAGCAAAGGGGTGAAGCACCACCAAGCACTGTCCTAGATTCACTATAAAACATCTTGTTTTTGTTCTTTTTTTCTCTGCATGGCATCTACAGACCTTCAATCACATTATAGGAACAATGTAAGGACCTCAAAAAGTCACTCTCCATGGCTCATGTCTTCAGGTTATCTACTCTGCTGAGATAAGAAATTAGATCATTTGACAATCAAGACCCAGAGGATAGTCTTTGGAGAAGGAAAGGAAAGGGAAGGCTGTCTCTTTCCCGTAGCTTATGGGTTGGGAAACCCAGAATCCATGGAGCTGGACTGGGAAGGAGGTATTGCTCAGGGAAGAATAACAAGCTGGGTTGCTGACACATCTGGAACACCAGGTGCAGGGCCCCAGGAGAAGGAGGGAGGTGATGACTCTGGCTGCTTCCCTTTTACCCAGATGGAAGATGAACCTTGCTAGCAGGATTGAGTAAGCAAAAGGAGAAAGCAAGGGTTCTCTGAGAGCCTTTGACTCCTGTTCCTAAGATCCTCAGTAATGATAACAATGACTTAAATACTGCTATTTTCCAGTCACTAAGCATTTGTCAAGAGTTAGAGACTATACCAAACAAACATATATTAACTCCAGTTAATGTTCACAATCTACCTTTGATTCAAGCGCTTTCCCCCCTTTTTACAGAGTGACCAACTAAAACTTGGAGAGATTAAGTAATAGTCCCCAGAGTCACACAGCTGCAAAGGACACAGCTGGGTTCTAACATAGATCTATCTGTGTATATTAATCTTTTCATTTCCATATTTACTTATCATTGTGTTTGCCTTAGCTTTTGGCCATTGAAAAAACTCTTTTCTTATTATCTGAATTATTCTACAGTCTCTACTATGTCTATTTCAAAAATATGTGTGGAAAAAGAGGAGAGAGAAAATCTTGCTGTTTAATTACACTTCAATTATTCATGTTTAAGTAAACCCCAATAAATTATCAGGAGTCTGACTGTGGTGTCTGTCAATGTCATATCATGCAGACATTAGAAACTCTGAGTCACTTTTGCTTTGGGTTGGTTTGGCTTTGAGATAAGGTCTAGCTGTGTTGTCCGGGCTGGCCCCAAACTCCAGCACTCAAGTGATCTTCCTGCCTCAGCCTCTCAAGTTCTGAGATAACAGGAGCATACCACCACAACCAACATTTGGGTTACCTATTGATTGGCATATTCTGAGAGAAACTCACAGAAATATACTTAATGAGAATAAAAAGCTACGAACAGACAAACAACAATTGGTAATAAGCATTGGCCCTGTGTTCTCCATAAAATCTTTCTTAGTCATCATCCTCATCAGGTTGCAAGTTGCGTGACCCTATTCAGATTGGCACAGACTATTTCAAGGATTCAAGACTATTTCATAAGATTCAGAAACAGAACCATAAACCTGATCTCAGTTGTGGCAGTAACCAGGATTGGACAGCCTTTGGCTCCAAGGAACTTTCCTCTCTCTTCTTTTGTCCCCTAAGCATCTGCATCCACTTTGCTTCTTCTGAACATCTAGGCCGGTGTCATGAAATGGCCTCTCCTGGTTTCATCACTTTCCAGCTGCAGCACCACCAACCAAATTCTAGAAACAAAGACTCTGACTGACCCAGCACATATGAACTTTCCATAGATGATCTCTTCCTCTTCTAGTACAAGCATAGCTACAAGACCTACTTTATTGGAAAGGAAAAGATTATAAGAGAAATGGGGTAAAGGAAGACCTCATACACCCTCAAATTTGACTTCCTCACAGGGACCAGGGTTCGATCCCTGATCTCACATGCCATGCTGGCCCCACCCCCCCAGTGACAGCCAGTGACAGCGTCCAGGTGTGGTAGCACATGCCTATAATGCCAGTGCTAGGGAGGCTGAAAACAGGAGATCACTATAAGTCCCAGCCGCATAGTGAGACACTGTACCAAATACATAAATGAAAAAAAAAATGTTTTTTACTTCCTATTGAGACTCAGGAGTTCAAGGCAACCCTAGGCTAGAATGAGTACAATGCCAGCTTGAACTACATAGTGAGACCTTATCTCAAAAAAGAATGCAAAATAAACAATAAATAAATATAGTTAAGAAATTATCCACACAGGGAATGACTGAGATAGACGAAGAAGTACACATGAAGGAGAGGAAATATTGGACAAAGTCAAATTCTTGGAGAATAATAATCCCAGGAACAAGCACTGAGCATGATAGCACATACCTGTAATCCCAACACTCAGGGGGCTGAGGCAAGAGGATTGTGAATTTGAGGCCAATCTGGACTACAGAGTGAGCTCCAGACAGCCTGAATTGTATAGCAAGATCTCATCTCAAAAAGAACAAAATATCATCATCATGCCAGAAACAATATGAAGAAAGAGAAATCAGAAAAATGTAGGTGCAGGGCCAGGGATATAGCTCAGCAGATTAAGCGCTTGCTTAAGGAAGCACAAGGGCCAGGGTTCGATCCCTGGCGCCACATGCTGCACCAGCCCTGCTCTCGGGAGCGCTGAGTCAGTGATGGAGTCTGGGCATGGTGACATGTGCCTGTGAGGCAGAAACCAGGAGGATCACTACAAGCTATGTAGTGAGACCCTGCACACACACACACACACACACACACACACACACACACACACACAAAGAAAAATGTAGAATGTAGGTGCAATATCAGGAAGATGGCAGAAGGAAGATGACAGATTAATGCTGATGAGAATATCCATGGGTAAGAACTGCAAATGATTCATGGCATTCAGTGCCTAAACATCTAAGGATATTTCATCCCCATCTACCTACCATCTACTCAAAAAAATGTTCAATTATATACTTGAGGGGCTGGTGAGATAGCTCAGCAGTTTAAAGTGCCTACATAGACAAGCAGGCACAGGGGACCAAGGTTCGATCTCTGGCACTACATGCAGGCTGAGCCAGCCAAAACAAAACAAAAACTACAAAACAATTATATACTTGAAGGCAGAAAATTAATAGTTGCTGTTTCATCAGAGAAAGATTGAAACAATTCGAAATAGTGTAACTAATGTAGTCTGTTCCGGATGAACATTAACAGGAAGGGACTGCGAGAAACACTTCTGCAGGGCAGCCTCTCTCCCCAGCGACCTGCTCACCCCCTTGTATCTTGGCTTTGTGAGAAAGAGAAGTGAGCCCACCACTAGGGTGTACATTCTTTCACAGGCTAGGTCTGTGTTCTTCCTTCTCTTCAATCAAGTTGGCTCCAATCAAGTCAGTTTTAGTTTGTGCTTTCTATCTTATACTCTTCAATGAAAGCATATTTGTTACTCAATATTTATGCTCTAATCCTCCCTTGCAACTCCAAGGAAAGATTACAACTTTCTGTTCCCTTGAGGATTAGCTTAGTCCTGTAGCTAGAATGAAATGTTAGTGTTTGTGATGCAAACCTAATTAATATGCTCACCTGAATGGATGTGATCTGTGATCTATCTGTCATGCTGTATGTCAAAGACATATCCTTTGTGGACAGTTGGTCTTAGAGTCAAAGCTTAATGGGGCAGAGAGAAACACTGCATGCCTGTGAAAGAGAAATAAATGTGTTGGTGTTATAAGTCCCTGAGAATGGAGGACAGCTTATTATGCAATATCACTGTGGTAATACAGACTATAACTGATAAACCCTTATTCTTCTCATTCCACAAAAAGAGAAGACTGTGTCAAATACTTGGCAGGCAGCTATATCCAGATGAGATTTGACAATGCTAATGATATGCACTTTCATTGTGTTCTACTTTTGCCTCATTGTGATACATACAACTTATTTTCAAATTAAGTATAGAGATGCTAAGTTTTATTTTGATTAATCCAGATTTCTTCTTAAAAAATTATCTAGGGGAAGATTGGTGCTGTGTCTTAGAGATAGAACACCTATCTAGCAAATGTGAAGCCCTGAGTTCCATCCCCAGCACTACACCAGGGTGGGGGGCAGTGCAAAATTAATTGAGTTAATGAGGGGGAGAAGGCGCAATGTATAGTTAGCAAAATACACAAAGGTGTGGCACAAAAGCAAAATGTTTCCCAGTGCTCCCAACTCCCCCAAAGCAAATCCAAAAGGCACTGAGGGGAAAAAATCAAAAGCCACACAGCCAAATACCTGAAATAGTAGCAGTGGAGATAATAAAACAGATTAATAAGACACTTGGAAAATTCAAAATAGAGATAATTAAAGAAATAATAACCCTAATAAAATAAATGATTAGGGCTGGGGAGGTAGCTCAGTGGCATAAGCGCCTGTCTGACAAGTGCAAGGTCCTGAGTTTGATCCCTGGTATCACATGCTGTGCCAGC